CTCTTAGGAGGCTGAGGCAGGAGGACAGGGAGTTCAAGGTCACCAGGATGACATAGGGAGTTCAAGGTCACCAGGGTGACATAGGGAGTTCAAAACCAGCCTGAGCTATATAAGACACACACACAGAAAAGAGTTTTTTGAAATATAATTTACACACCATACTGTTCTCTAGTTTAAAGTGTATAATTTGAGCTGGGGGTGTGTCTCAGTGGCAGCGCATATGCTTAGCATGTGTGAATCCCTAGGCTCAATCTCCTGCACCAAAAAAGTATAATTTAATGCTTGTTTATGGCATTATTAATTTTTAAAAATTGTTACAAAATATGTAATGTAAAATTTGCCATTATGACCATTTTTCAGGGAACAATTCAGGTATATCAATTACATTCACAATGTTGTTCAATCATCTTCTCTATTTCCAAAACTGATTTATCCTCCTAAATACCAAACTCCATCGCCATGAAAAGCAATGATTTCCCATTCCTCCCCCAGTTCTGGGTGACACTAAGCTCTGTCCGCGCCTACGAACTGGGCTGTTCTAGGCACCCCAAGCACAGCGGTGCCGTGTGCTTGTGATTTATGCTCCCTGAAGTGTGCTGAGCACCACGCACGATGTGTGCCAGGAAACGGCTTTGGCTGCAAAGGCCGTCGAGCAGGGAAGCAGCAGACACTGAGAAGTCCTAGCTTGCCCACCGAGTAGCAGACATGTGAGTGCCCGGACAAAAGGTTCATGTCGAAATGTGTCAGGTACCAAATCTGATGGTTGCAAACCGGAAAGGATCAGGGGGTGGCTGTGAGTAGAATTACACAACATTTGTTTTTTTGTTCCTGATGTCTCATAATGTTTGAAAGGCTTAGATATGCTGCCCGTGGGTCATATTTTGCATATAGCTCATCTATTGACCTGGGATTGTCCCTGGGTTTTGGCTATTGTGATTAGTGCTGAAATAAACATTGCTGTACAATATCTGTCCAAGTTCCTGGTCTCAGCTTCGGGCTGTATATACGTAGCAGAACTGGGGAATCATCTGGCAATTCTGTCTTAGCTACTGGAGGGACAGACTGTTTTCTGTAGTGGCCATTTACATTTTGTGCTTTACACTATTTAAATTCTACTTATTGTACACGAGATTTTTTTTTTTTTTTTTGTACCAGGAATTGAACTCAGGACCTCAAGCTTGCCAGGAAGGCACTAAGCCACTGAACTATACCCTTGGCCCTATATTCTACTTATTGTAGATAAGACACATGTAAGCAGAAAGTCTAGATCTAGAGCTGTAGCTCAGTGATAGAACACTTGCCTAGCGTGTCTGAAGCCCTGGGTTTGATCCCCACCATCACAAATATAAATATATTAATAATCTAAGGTTATACCTAGTACCTCCCCCGTGGGTTAAGCCAAGGAACCCAAGTGATAAGTTTAGAGGGAGAAGTTATCGCAGGCCTGGGAGGTCAGGAAAGGTTTTACAGAGGAAGAAGGGGCCTTGGGCCACCAAGGGGGAGATGGTATTTCAGGAAAATGAGAATGAGTAAAGAAAAGGTACTGTGGTGCAATAGGTAAAGAGAGTCTGAGACATGGTGAGTAGGGAGAACAGTACACTTCTGTCAAGCTGATAGGGAGAGCAGTGAACAGGAAGTGTGAAAAGCAGGTTGGGTCTAAAATGTGAGGCCCAGTGTAATTTGGACTTTATTTTAAAGATGTCAGGGTGGTGATAAAAGATCAAAGGAGAAACACGATGAGCTAATTTTGTTATTGATTCATCTGGCCTCTAAATCTGCCCTTTTGCTGGGTGTGGTGGCACACATCTGCACTCCCAGCACTAGGGAGACTGAGGAAAGGAAGATGGCTGGAGTTCGAGGCCAGCCTGAAGTACATAGCAAGTTTAAAATCAACCTGAAGGAGCCGGGCGTGCTGGTGCATGCCTATAATCCCAGCACTCAGGAGGCTGAGGCAAGAGGATCATTGCAAGTTCCAGGCCAGCCGGGGCTACAAAAGTGAGCTCAAGGTCAGCCTGAACTGCATAGCGAGACCCTGCCTCAAAAAGATGAAATAAATAAATAAATAAATAAATAAATAAAACCAGCCTGAAATACATGGTGAGACTCTGCCTCATAAAACAAAAAATTAGCTGGGCATGATGGTGAATGGCTGTAATCCCAGCACTCACGAGGCTGAGGCAGGAGGATCATTGCGAGTTTGAGACCAGCCTGGGCTACAAAGTGAGCTCGAGGCCAGCCTGAACTGCATACTGAGACCCTGTCTCAAAAAAAAGACAAAAAAAAAAAAACCCAAATTTTTCTTTTTGATTTATGTCTTACTTTTCTTGTTGCTGAGACAAAATATTCTATGCAAAGTAACAAGGGACAACCATGCTCTCTCTCTTTTTTTGGCAACAGGAATCATTCTCAGGACTGTGACTGTCAGGCAGGTGCTTGTGCCACTGAGCTATATCCCTAGCCCCAACCAGCCCTCCTTCTATCACTTATGTCTTATCTGGGCTACTTAGGGTGGGTAGCACTCACACCCTTAATACTAGTGCTTTTGAGCCTAGCACTGTACCATGAATCAATCCCAGCGTTACACACTATAGATCTAGCCACCTCTGAAAAAGCCTCACCTATGACTGCCTGAGGCTTTTGGGGGACATCTAGATACAAGCCATAACAATTTACAATTTGTTTCATAATGAAGTATTTCAAGTTGATAGAAAAGCAGAAATTCTATAACACTGTGAACAAATCATCTAGCTTTGTCAGACCTTTACTTTTTGCTATGCTTGCTTCAGATTTTAAACAAAACATAGACATTCAAGCTTTCCTTCCTTCTTTCCACCCCCAAAATGGGCATGGATCCCAGGTATGATTTACCCCTGAGCAACGCCCCCAGCCCTGTGTATTTTGAGACAAGGTCTGGCTCAATTGCCCAGGCTGGCCTGGAATCTGCAATCCTCCTTTGTCAGCCTCCTAAATAACTGGCATTACTGTCTTTTTTTTTTTTTTTTTTGGTATGGGGAACCAAACTCACAACCTTGCGCTTGCCAGGCAGGCGCTGTGCCACTGAGCTAAATCCCCAGCCCCTGGGATTACTGTTGTAAGCCACCACACCCAGCAAAGCTTCCTATGTGTTGCTTCCAACCCCTTTCCCCTTCCTCCTAAGAAGTAATCACCATCTTGAATTTGGGTTTTGTATGGGCCAAGGATAGAGCTCAGTGACACAAGCGCCTGCCTGAATTTGGGTTTTACCAACAGGAGGGAGTTCATGTATAGACACGACATGATGCCTGTACCCTGGCCACTCATATACATTTGTGGGGTGGGGCAGGGTGAGATGGATTTATCTGAAGGAACTGGTGGTCTGGCAAGTCTGAAAACCACGGGCAGCCTGGCAGGATGGAGACAAGGCAGAGCCTGCGGGGTCCAAGGGCGTCAGCCACGGTGGTGGATTCCCTGACTGCGTAAGGGCCCACGCCATGGTGGGTGGATCTGCTGGCGGTGAGTCTACTGAATCAAATGCTCATCTCATCTGAAAAATATCTTCACAGAAACAGAATGATGTTTCACCAAGTATGTGGGTACCATTTCTTAGCCAAGGTGAAATAAAAATTATTTTTAAACTATATTTTTACATGTGTATGTAGCCATAAAGAATAAATATAATTTTATATGTATATAAGTGGTATCAAATTGCCAGTATCCTTCAGTAACCTTATTCTCCCTCAAATTATGTTTTAAAATGTGTTCATATTAATATATATAGCTCTAGTTATTCATTTAACTCGTAACGCTTTGCACTGCATGAACGGACCGCAGCTCGTCACCCTTTCCGACAGCAGGACTTTAGGCTGTGTGCAGCGATTCGTGGTTACAAACAGGGCTGCAACAGTGGTTCTTCCCCATGCTTCCTTGAGCATGCTGGGGCTTTGTTAGCGTGGAATTGCCGGGTGGACGATGCTATCATGTTAAAAAGATGAACTATTTCAAGTATTTAGAAAAGTTTAGAGAATACTAAATTTAACTGCATCCCCACCCCTCAGTTTGAGGACTACAATGTTATCAGTACAGTCAATACCTTCTCAGGATTTCTTTCCTCAATCACATACGTACTGCTTTTTGCCACAATAACACATTTAGTGTTTATCATGCCCCTAAATTACTTTGTCCTTTTATTCTTATAGGTATGCAATTTATTAATTATTTTTGGTACCTAGGATTGAGCCCAAGGCCTTTGCATTGAGCTACATCTGCAGCCCATTTATTTATTTATTTATTTATTTCCAGTACCGGGAACTGAACTCATGACCTCGTTCTTGCCAGGCAGGCACTGTGTCGCTGGGCTAAATCCCCAGCCCCTTTGTTTTTTAACTTTTGAAACAGGGACTGTTACTGAGCTTCCCAGGTTGGACTTGAACTTGAGATTCTCCTGCCTCAGCCTCCCAGAGGACTGGATTATAGCTGTGCCTATTTTAATCTCTATATTACCTGTGAATTACAGTTTTGTTTTGTTTTGTTTTGTTTTTGTCTTTTTGAGACAGGGTCTTGCTATGCAGTTCAGGCTGGCCTTGAGCTCATTTTGTAACCCAGGCTGGCCTCGAACTCGCAACAATCATCCTGCCTCACCCTCCTGAGTATTATTATTTTTTTTTTTTTAACAGAGGGAAAGGTTTATTTAGCTCCCAGTTTGTAAGGGTTTCAGTCCATAATCAGCTGGTTCTGAGGTAGAGTAGCACAAGGCAGAGGGGCAACAGTTCATGGTGGCGGAAGACAGCCAAAGCAAAGAGAGAGAGGGAGGACGGGTGAATTACAGCTCTTTACCTGGTTTGCTACAGACAACACTCTGTATCTTGCGAGAGAGGTTGGTCAACTCACATAAGAAGTTATAAACACGCTGGCATTCGCGTTCATCCCACCCTGCTGTCAAAGTCTGAGGAAGGTAAAATAAAGGAAGGTAAAATAAACACTGCAGATGTTCAGACCACAAATCAAAATATAAGCTACTACTCCTTTATGAGCAAACCACCAAGGTGCTATGCAGTTTTTAAGCCACTACGGAGCTGTGTAAGTTAATATGAAATTTGCATAATCAAAAAACCTAGATATACTCCCAAACCTACTTTCTTTTCGGTTGAGAAGGCAGTATCTTTTCCGAGTACTTTTAAATGGTACTGGACCCTGAACTCTGACAAACCCTAGACCTCAGCTTTAGATGCCTCCCTCGTAGCCACATTGTGGCTTAGTTTGACCATGACATTGGAACTTTCGACTGCCTGATGTTGCTTGCAGTTGATAATGATCTCTCTTTTTTTTTTTTGGTACCGGGAATCAAATTCATGACTTTGTGCTTGCCAGACAGGCACTTGTGCCTCTGAGCTATATCCCCGGCCCAATGTTCTCATTTTAATGTGATAAATTTGAACATTTATTTATGACTCTTGGATTTGAACAACTAAAAAGATTTTATTAAGTAAAAATTTAACTGCTATCTTTGAACATAGTCATATGTGCAAAATAAGCATATTTGAAAAGGGAATCCAAGTGGTATACAACTATAATTAGATTTTTTTTTAATAACTAGATTTTGAAGGTTTGATTAATCGCATAAATTTTTCCTAAAATAATTAACCAGATTCAGCAGTTTAAAAATTAATCTTAGGTCTCTAGAACAAAACTCTTGTAATAATCTTATTTTCCCTGGAGGGAGAGAGAAATTGGTGCCAGTGATTGCTTTTGGTGAAGAAAATTAGTAGATAAGGGACAGGCCTAAGAGGGAGTTCAACTTTTCACTTTATACATTTTGCAACTTTTGAATTTTACATGAATATCTGTGTATGTGTTTCCTATTCTAAAAAGAGAAATAGAGACATAGACAAATCAAAAGAAGTCTCTCTTGTAAGAGGGTAAAAGGAGGGGCCCGGAGCCCAGGTGCATGGGACTCGGTGGCTGAAAGGCCAGGATCCAGTTCAGGACTCTCAGGGAGGCATCACCTCCTCAGATGTTGTCAGCTTTAAATCAGATAATACATGCATACTGTCTGGCATATATCAAGGGCTTAATAAATGCTAGGGTTTTTTTCCCTTTCCTTTCTTTTTTGTATGTGTGTGCCTGGGTTCAAACTTAGGCATACTCTGTATCTGTAGTCCTTTTTTCATTTTCAGTCTTACAAAATTGTGCAGGAAGGCCTAGAACTCATGATCCTCCTGTTTCAGCCTCCCAAGTAGCTGGGATTATAGGAGTATGCCACTGTGCCTGGCTATTTTTATCTTCTTTGTTTATAATAAAATGTTAATGAAAATGTTCCTGAAGTCATACAGTTAATTTCTAAAGTCACTAGCCCAAGAGTTTAAACCTGCTATATACATAAACACACTTATGCTAACCCACAGTATTTACAGTCTTCACAACTGGCGGGAAACTGTGAGGACGCCGGCTTAAAGGAAATAAATGTTGAGCATTTCTCATGAGCTAGGAACTGAAGATGAAAGTCTGAGCTGGCAAATACATGAATACATTCCCGAACTTTACAATTTTGTTTTGTTTTCTTTCAGATTATTTTAACTTCTATTTGCCAGGTGTGGTGCCACGTGCCTTTAATCCTAGCACTGGAGAGGCTGAGGCAGGAGAATCTCTGAAAGCTCAAGGCCAGCCTGGGCTACATACTGAGACCTGTATCAGAAAAACGAAAACAAAAGCCAAACCAGCCAAACCGTCTATTCTATTAAGTACAAAAGATAGATATCACACGCTACTTGCTATCACTTCAAAAAGGATTTCTTTCCTCCTTTCATTAAAACATGTACCTGTAAAATCATGCCATAACACGATAATCCTAAGCACTGCATGGGAGCTGCACAACCATTGAATTTAAAACAGGAAACCTGTAAAAAGAGTATTGTTAATTCTGCTTTTCTGCAGATCTGTACAATGATTGGACATTCAAATTTAATGGAAATAAGCAAGAAGGTTTTTAGTATGCATTCTGATTAGCACTGTGTTCATGGGTGGGGATTACAAAAGAAGTATAAAACAAAACATTTGCCCTTAAGGATCTCACAGTTTAGGAAAATAAAATATACACATGTGAAGTTGCTATATTAATTAGGTCTAATTCATGAAATTCTATTAATGAAAGATATATTTAAAATAAGTATGACCCTAGTAGCAAAATATCTTTACCAGGAATCAAGATTATGAACCAATATGGAAGTGTGATCTTACTTCTGAGAGTATCCTGTGGATGCACTTTAGTCTTTCCTTGGTGGGTAGCAGCAACGTGCACCTTTTAAATAGCACACCTGAAAAAGAGACAAGGAAGAAATGATAACGTGATTAACTTGAACATATTCATAGCACAGAATGTTTCCACAGTGCACTACAGCACAGGCCTTCCTTTTCCGTCCTGTGGATTGAACCCAGAGCCTTTAAACTGAGCTATATCTCAGTCCATTTTTAATTTTTAAAATTTTGTTACAAGCACTTGGGAGGTTGAGGCAGGAGGATCCTTTCCAGTTTGAGACCAGCTGAGGCTACAAAGTGAGCTCAAGGTCAGCCTGAACTGCATAGTGAG